GCTCCTTCTAATAAAATATGTTATTAATCGCCGTTTCCCTCAGATCTAATTTACGAAGGTGGATATAAGCAAATGAATGCAAATTTTAAACATGCAGGACAACAGCTGAATTATTTTGACTCTTACTGATTTACTTGCAATGTTAGGCTGTTCATAATTTAATTCACGAATCCTGTGGTCTTCCTAAATTCCCAGAAACATAAACCCTTCACGTGGCTGTCATTAATAACTAGCATTTAAATGTCTTACTGCCAGAATAACAAAATGTTAGAACTACATGTTCTCGGCTGTTGCAACGGAAACTTGAGGTAGCCCATATTTACCGTGACTGTCGATAACTGAAACACAGGTTGTTAAACATACAAACACTTATCTTCCAGGTGTGTTCTGAGATGTGAGGCCCTCCATAGCAGGACAAGTGGGATTTGTGGTGGACAAAGTCGCACTGGGTCAGGTTATCTACGAGTATTTCCGTTTCCCCTGTCAATTCTCATTCCATCAACTACTCCATATTCATTAATCATCTTGTCATCAAATGCTACGCAGTGTAGATCCTGATAGCGTCTTTAAATACCCATTTAAAAATATCAGGACTGTACGTTAAAATCAGCGTATCAACACAACTTAGCAGCCTTATTTGCCGCTATATTTGTATTGCTGAAATTTACCGGTTAATTCAAAATGAAGCGAACATATTAGGATAATAATAATGCAGTGATGCCACATATATCAATATGTAGCTATCAATATGTAGCACATGTTATCTAATAGGAACCCGAAACGTGATTCTCTTATCGCCCGGTAGAAGCGTGCGTGATGTGAAAATGGCGTCAGCACAAGACAAATCATTCTGTATCATTCGGTATGCGAAAATGAATTCTATTATAAGTAAACATTACCAAAGGGTCAACCACAAAGAAAGGGGATTTACGTGTGGTGTAAAGCAGTTGGAAACCAAAGAATTCGTCTGCACGGGAAAAGTTCTCGCCCCTCCGTGTGACACACGAAACCGTGCAGCGCACGTGTGTATGTGTGGCACGCTGAATATGCGGCTTATCCCTTAGCTTCATGAAGACTCTGGATTCTGCTGATTTCATCTTACAACAAGATGGCGCTTTTGCTCACTTCCAACAAAATGGCGGTCATCACAATGGCTTTGCCGTGGAAACGGAGAAAAAGAAACATGATACTCCTACCCCCACAAGTCTTACATCTGGCAACATGCGATTTTGTTTTTGTGAGGTTATGTAAAGGATACTCTGTATTGCAACTGCCAACAGACATTGCGGACCTGAATCGTCAGGGTCGCTGAAGCAATGGCGTCGATTGACAGAGACATGCTGGATCTACATCTGCCGTTGTCCCTCGGGGGACTGACACTGATTGTCTGTAAAGTTTGTTAGTCCAGGAGAGAGACAATCACACCGACGGAACGGCGGCAGGAAGACGGGGCACTCCCATGTAAGATGCAACATAACACAAAATAGTTCCACCACAGTCGCACAAACCATCGTGAAAAAAATAATAGAATATACTAGTATCATCACGCAGATCACCACACAATATTATACACTAAGAAATTAAAAAGAACAATGACGACACTCAAGAAAGTCTCATGCTATACAACACGCATCATTTTTACGCAATGACAAAAGTAAACAGAAGAGTTTAAACTTTAAATTCAAAGTTTTAAATGCGATGGTAATTTGAATTTGAATTTTAAAAGGGATAACACGACGATTATTTGCCTTTAAAGTTGCCCCAAACTATACGACATACACCATCACGTCATAGAAAATATTCAGAAGAATTACAGATATTAAGTTTTATGTTAATTGCGATTTTATTTTAACGAAATATATATATTTTATTATTTAAATTTAACAATTAAAATTCTACGCAAACCGAATGGAAAATTTATAAGTCAGTGATCTGGATCAGTATCGGAAAACGACCCAATAACGATTGACATATTAAAATAATTACTGCCTGATGATGGACCAGCAGAGTCGAAATATGCAGCAATACTTCCACAAAATAAACGATTTGTTTTGATTTTTTATTATAGAGTTTTTGTGTTGACTGATACATTAAGAATACCGTCTTGGAGAGATTCTCTCAGTCCGTATGCGTTACGTCACGTTGATGGTTTAATTTCTACCATTTTTAAAGTGTTTACCTCTTTCTTAATCGTTCTATACATTTTAAAACATCAAAATTGGGGAGATGGATACGCTCACGTTATGACCAAATTTTATGGATATGCAGCTGCTTTGAAAGTTATACAATTATGCCAGACGCTTAATTTCCTTAAAAAAAATAAGTAGACTAACTTAAGTTAGATCTCCTACTCCTTAGAATAACATATTTCTTTTTGATTTTAATAAATATGGCAATATAAAAGTCACTATTTAAAGAAAATGACCTAAGTTAAAATAAGGAACTGGTATAACTCGAGATAGGGCAACCAAAACACGTGAAAATTGGGGACAGGTGGACATGATGTATGCTCGTTACCCAGGTACTGCATGTACAGTGCTTACACAGGCAAGTAGATGACACGCCTGCTTGGCAGACAAGCCGTTGGTATGGAAATTCTACTGGTGACATCCAAAGAAAACCCCACCAAAATCAAAACTGCAGCGACAGGGAAACTTACAGCTTGATCCTAATTTCCACTCTCTTTGCAAAACTAATACTGTAGTTTCTGAGATCTGCCTGTTTAAAGATTGGCCTTCTTGAACAGTAAGAACTGAAGAAATTCACGGTAACTTCACCAAAGATTATGTGTTCCCGAGATACTCTACTCTTAGTTGATGACTTCTGGGATATACAGACGTCAAATGTGTTACCTTGGTATTAATCTGCCCCGTGAAATGCATCGACATGCTTCACTTATAGACTACAACGTCTGTGAATGCTAGAAGGAGACTATCGTGGCCTAATTTGAGGTACGATCTCGAAGTTTTACTCTAGGGACTGAGGAAAATGCAACAAATCTCAGGAAGCACAGCCGGTCTGCAAGCCGAGATGCGAAATCGGATGCTTAAAATAGGAAGACGAAGTCCTACACACTTGATCTCGTCATTCGATGTTCTCAGTTAGCAAAGCAACTAACGTCCCTGCCAGAATGGCCAGTTCACCGATAACAAATCAGAATCTACGAGCTTGATATAAACACATTCACTAAGGAATATTAAGAGACCTTCATTATTTCACATGTTTCAGTTCTCCGACTTTACTGCGAATTTTCAAATAATCCGGACATTAATCTTTAAAAATTGCTTAACTGTAAATTCAATATACAGCGCTGTTTCATCAGAACTGTTTTGCTATGAAGAACAGTGAAGGCACATTCGAAAAGACGGGTTGGACGTAGAAGCATCGGTTAAAATTCAGTTGTAATTAAAATTACGTTTTAATATGTAATAGAAAACTGTAACTGTGGAAATGTATTTTAATTTTATTATTACATCTCTGGTATTCCAAGAGTTTTTTTCCTGTCGACATAAATACGACACGAGTACATATACATGGTGTGTCAAACAATTCTTATTCAACTTTACGTAAGCTTAACAATCTCCAACTTAATGAGTTTTAAAATTACTACCGACTGACGCCGTTTACTATAGAATATAGGCAGTGTTTGTAGCAAAAGTGTGCAGCAGGAATCACACTGCCCTTTTCCTAATATGCACTAGATAAACGCGCATAGGCCTATCACAATGGGCGTGTGGTCTAAGGCATGCACCGTCTTCGCCCCCTCGAACACTGGAATCGTGGGTTCGAATCCCACGCGAGGCATGGATATCTGTGTACCTTTATTCTGATTGTGTTTTTCTATGTGTAGGTAGAGGCGTTGCGACGGGCTGAACCCCCGTCCAAAGAATCCTACTGACTGTGTATAGATTATGAAATTAAAAGGGTGGCCCAGGTCCACAAGGGCTGTAGAGTCATAGAAAGACAGATACAGAGATAGTTTGCGTTCTACTTTAATCAGGAGAGCGGGTACTTATTAAGTACGATCCACAAAGTAAATTCTACGATGACGTCTGTGACAAATTTTAAAGGCGTATTTAAAATTACCCAACATTTCCTTAAAGATAGTAAAAAAATAATACAAATACAGAATTGTCAATCTTACTGAACAGGAATTCACTACAAGTAATTTTGAATGTACATACGGTACATATTCATGTGCTCAGTGAACGCTTACTGTTCTTGTAACTTATGCATTTACATTAATCAAGGAGACGCATCATTTCGTGCTTTGTACATTGCTCACAATAAACAGCCGACTCCACCATAGTGAATTCTGAGAGAAACAGGACTGCGAGAACAATACACATAATCTGTGTCTGCCGGATAACAAATAGGCGCTCCCAAATTAAGTTATTATTTATTCTGGCTTACTTAACAAAACCGTCAGAAGAGAATCTCCTTCCATTGCATAAGGTCAGATGGCAAAATAAATTAATCATAAATTGAAAAGGCTATGAAATGAAGCGGTTGTAGAGCATTTCTCACGGTCTCTTCGCTTGCAGATTTCTTATATTTTTTCTTCTACCCTGAAGATGGAGGAGATACGTTCCTCCGAAACGTCGGTTAACACCATATATACACGATGCCGAATCCCAGAAGACTGCTTTCTTCATAATTTATTCATTTCCAAAATGCTGTTCGTTATAAAGACCTATGAGAATGAGTGTAACTTAGAAAACTACGTATACCCATTTACCTTGTTTACGTTGGATTCCTTTGTTGTTTTCTTTTCGGGTATAAATTGTAAACATAACTGAAATTCCGCGACAGCTTAACGGGACTATATATAAAATCCGACTTTAGAAATGCGTATATACCACTATATTTTATAGTGGAATACAATTTCACACTCTTGTTTAAATTACAATCAGGGAAGATGCAGTTGTTTTATGTTCACACATGCACGATGGGAAGTATTATTCTATTTCCACCAACTTTAATATATTATTTTACAGTACCTTGGTTCTTCATTCCCTTCAGTGTGAAGTTGACATAACCCACAATCACCTGTCTCACATAATAACAAGTAACAGACAATAACATCAGCATGCACTTGTCAACACGCAGTTAATATCATTTATTTTTCAGTTCTGATTTGTCAGCGAGACCACAACAACTGCACTAACACTAATATTAGTGCAGTAGACTCTCCGTGACAACAGTGACAAACGCACTAACCGAACTACGAATCAGACACAACACGCATGCTTCCGGAGTCACAGTACGGTTGTGTTTCTTCCATAGAGCAACGCCAGAAGTACAAGGTGTATAAAAATCTACTTACCGCTTTAATTTTCAGTTGGAGTATAAAGTATCAGAATGAGTAAATTTCCTTTGTAATTCTTGCAATATCGCTCAGTCTGGGTTAACAATCCTGCTCCTTAATCTGACTTTCCCGATTCAAATCTCGGCCCAGAGACCGGCTATACTGATAAGAGATTTTCTTAGTTTTCCTCAGTTCTTCCAGGAAAACGCCGGGCCTCAAAAATTTCCTTCCATGTCCTTTTACTTCAATATACATTAATTATCCTGTGTCACCTGAGTTACTGACAGAGTTGAACAACCACAAATAAATAAAACAAATATAAATGACTGCGAATTTATTAGACTGAAATCGAAATTGTTATAGTATTCAGTTCGTAACTTCATTTGTAAATAAGAAATTAAGGAATAAACAATATATAGAAAAATTGAATCACGGATTCGAATCCCTGTAGTGACACGGACGTTCGAGTTTTTCTGTGTTGTTCTCTTACTGACTTCCACCGAATAATCTTGAAAACTCACCAATTCTGGAGGAAGCAGCTGCAATAAAATCACATGCTTCATGCAATAATTTCCCAAACGTGGCGTCCAAATGTAAGGTTAAGAGCTAAATAACTTTCTTATTTCAATATTGATTAGCTAATGAAGGGGCCTTGCCCTAACCCAAAAACTGCCGCAAGCAACAGTATACAGTATGCTGGATAGTACATAACTTTACGGTCAAAGGCAAAGTTGTCCCTATGCTTAACTAATTAATCACTACGCCATGAAGGCGTACGGGGGAGTGGATGTGTAGATCCACATTTGCTTGACCTCGGCACTAGTTGGAGGCGAGTGGTCAGCTTCACGAACCAACCACTTTAGCCTCGGGGAAAGAGCCTCCGGTACCCATTGGGTAGGAAGTTGGGTGAACACCAGAGCCGGTCTGGACGACGTGGAGAAAATTCTTGGCCCTAACGGGACTCGAATTCCGACCCCTCAGTCGTCCAGCCCGTAGCCAGTCGCTTTTCCGGCTACGCTGTCCCGGCTCACACACAACTTTAAGGTAGTAAATATTAAATAATTATTTTGGTAATAATCTACGATGGCCATTACTAGAAGCACCGTGCCAATTTTCAAGCCTGCTTATGTTTGTCCGCGGCATGTCTTACACTGACCTCCTTTCTATCCTATAATTTGTGATAAAATTAAAGCCTCTGGAAGCTCGGAATATATCAAAGCGTCATTTCCATTTAGCAGTTACGAGATCTTCATTACGTATCACATTCGAACCGCCGGCAATAAAGAACCTAAGCACTTGCTGCCATTACAAACTGGATGATTTACAATGTTAAATTTTAAACCAGTTTCTTGACGTTCTAGATACTAAGAACAACGCCCATAAAAATAATTCTAGCGTTAGCTCAATTAAGAAGCCAACATATTTCAGATAGTTAATGGCTGTCGTAATTTTCATGCCTCTAACCCCTGTTACGTGTATAGAAAGAAGTGTGGGTACAAAATGGTAGTTGAATACGTTCAGTAATCTGATTTGTGTTGTTTAATAACGCATTGCAGTGCAGTAACTTTTCAACAATTTATAGTCAATTAATAGTGTCGCATTTGGAAATGTTAAGGCCTCTAAAACATTACGCCTACAGCGTTTCTTTCGAATTTCCTGTATGAACCAATGCTTTAAAGATAACTCATTTTCTTTTATAAGATTACATCCTTTCTGTGTATATGACTCAAGGTTTCTGGGGTTAACTGCCAGACAGACTACATCAAAAACTTTATGGTACGTCATATCTTGAGCAATCAACCTTCCGGAAGAATATTCCTGAGTATCCATCGAGATCTCCGGCACAGCGAATTTGCTTCCAATCGTACCTTGATAACAGAGTCTTTCGAATGATGACGTCACAATGACGCACCCTCAAAGATTTTTCAGACATAGCATCTAGACTGTATGGTATTCTTAATATGTCAGTCAACACAATTCTATAATAAACAAATCAATACCATTGTATTTTCTTTTTCGCTGGCTCTACAGCCCCCTTGGGGCCCTGGCCTCTGATTTTTGGTTTCATGATCATTTTACAGACGAGTGGGAGAGTGACGAGGTCGTCGCAAGGTCTCTGTCTGAACACAGGACAGCAAAAACACGGAATAAACACATACAAAATATCCATGCCTTGTGTAGGATTCGAACCCACGATCCCGGCTTCCGAGCGAGTGAAGACAGTATATGCCTCAGACCGCTCGGCTACCACTGTATTAGTATTCGTTTATTGTGTAGAATTGTGTTGGCTGATATATTAGGATGTAAACACCTGCGTCACTATCTAATAATATCTAATATCAAAGATATTATGGATACAGAATGAGAAACTAGTTAACTCCGTAAGACGTATTCCTTCTCGAGAACCTGGTAAAGTCTAAGCAGTTTAAGAAATACTGTTGCTTTTATGGAAACCGAAGTTTCTTTATCACATTCAGAACAGCCTGCCATCACGCAAGTTGGATCAAACGGTAGCGCTTCTCACTGGTATTCGGGAGATCATCGGTTCAAATATCGACCAGGATAACAATTTTCTTGAAGAAAGTCGTCTTCTGGGATCTGGCGCCGTGTATTCTTGGTTTTAACCGACGTTTCGGAGGAACATATCGCCTCCATCTTCAGGGTAGTTGAGTTTCGTGCGAATACAGATAGCTTTAGCTGCAGCTACTCAACTACCCTGAAGATGGAGGCGATATGTTCCTCCGAAACGTCGGTTAAAACCAAGAATACACGGCGCCAGATCCCAACGACTTTCTTCATAGTCATCGCCGTGAAAACCTCAAAACTTACAACAATTTTCTTGATTGTAAATGTTCGTGGTTTTCCTCGCCTCATCCAGGCAAGTCGGAATAACAGCTCTAATCAGGCCACTACTGCTTCCTTCCCTGCCCATTCCGATTCATTATTCATCAATAATCCTATCATTCGACAATAGAGAACCCTAGTTAATGGCAATGACCTTAAACACATCACTAAATAGTAAACAAAACAAGACCACACTGTTGGTCCCAAAGCGAACACAGTAAACGTTGTCTAGCATTGCATATATGGAGTATGTTGTCCTCTCGAGTATGAATAACCTGCAGCACCATCAATATAGTTATTAACAGTACATTGTCAGCGGCCTCCGTAATCTAGAGGTAACGTTCCCACCTCATGACTCGTAGTACGCGGGTTCAAATGCCCGGCGGAGGTCGTCGAATTTTTAAGGGCGGAAAAATTCAGGGAACAAGTCCTCCGGGAGAGACTTTAAGCCGTGGGTCCCGTGTCGTAGCTTTACGGCACGTATAAGAACCTCATGTCTCCAAAGGAGGCCACTGAGCAAAATTACAGACGTGTCCCGCCCAACAGTAGTCTCTAATACCTCTGGTAGATGGGGGAAGCATTATAGATACCACTCAGCCAGTAGAGACCGATCTCGCTGGCTGGACGGGACTGATGGTAAGCACCAGTATCGGTAGGATATAGAGACTGGTAGAATATCATAGAGGGAAGCACAATGGACCAAGACAGGTCTAAGTGCATGGGGAAACCCACCCTCTCCAATAACTAACTAACAGTATATTGTCACTTTCTATGGACTGACTATAAGCGGATTTTGGATTCGTAATTGGATTTATTACACACTTATGCACATAACTCGTAACTAGTACAAGTAACTGTAGCGCCATTGTTAAATCACACATTGCAATTCGCTACAGCACATATTACAGTCATCTCAGTCTGCTGTGTCTTCACCACTTCTCTGGTAACGGCATCCAACGGCTTCCAACTACAGTGAACAATCCACAAAAACACAACAATATTCTTTGTTCCAAAAGGTTCTCTAAAACGAATAATATGAATCTTAATTTAGAATTGGAGGTCATCTTAGTTCTTCCCAAACTTATTTTTTAATAGCTGCATTAAGGCTGCTCATTAAAATGAAATGCAATAAAAAAACAAACAAACTCCGCGATTTTAGTCCGCAAGCGAACTATACCGACCGAGCGACCGCCGCTTGTCAGCGAAGTTTAGTGCAAACTTTTGCGGATAGGTTTCGCGTGGTCATCGTTAATTTCGGTTTTCTAAACCGGAGCCGTTATTTCCTAGAAATAGATCCTCATTTATCATCACGAGGCTGTGTGCACCCCGTTCCAGACCAACTACTTCTCAGAAAAAAAAAAAAATCTGGTAGCTCCGGGAATCGAAGCCGGACCTCTGGATCTGTAGCCAGGAATGCTGACCACTAGACCACAGAAGTTCAAAATTGCTGTTGAGATGCTGACAGTTACTCTGTTGGCCTACAAATTCCCAGCCTCTTAGGTATCCGAGGGTGAATTGACGTGTTGAGGTAATCTCACTCTACCGATGTACTATACACTATTGCCCCGTAAGGGTAGGCGCGGGCTCAAGAGTCGGACGCACCTACCGTCAACTCGGCCCACATAGTTTCATTTCATAGAAGAGATATCTAGAAAAGTGACTGTACTACGTACAATACGTTGTACTTCTTCAGCAGTTTGCCTCCTCAGGATAAGAATATAAACCACACTCAATGAACAGGAATCACAAAAGAACCATTTATACTACAGAATCTTTACAAACACAACATGGCACCCTCAGATGCTAAAAGTTGCAGTCGCTACAGAAAACGTTTAGGCTACCTATACATAAAACAATTCCATAAAGAAACAAACAATAGAATTACAGCCTAAAATGTGTCATATTTTCCGGCAAAAACTCATAAATAATTAAATAGTACGGTATCTAATTCGAACAAAACACATATTACAGCTTGTAAACATACAAAGAAATGTTTATATATCCTTCAATATGTAAAATCAATGGTTTTCCTACACAAAAGTTCCAGCTCTATAGTGGATAATCAGTTGTACGTACAAACTAGCAGTAGGACTAACAGGCATATCTGCATTGAACACATTTGTAACTTTGATTTAAACATTAGATGACTAACAAAAGATAGGTAACTCAGCAGTGGGTTATACTATTAATAATACGCTTTCCAAAGACGTCCTACCGCTCAGTACAACCTCTAGGTTGAAATAATACACCTGTTATATAGACGGCTATTAGTCATCCGCGGTACATAGAATCTGCGTTGAAAGAAAAATGTTCCTCTGTTCTTGTCGCCATTTTTATGCAGATAGCTATCAATCTGTATCGACCTAATTCTAAAGGCGAAGCATCGGCATGAAGAAAGGCTTCACAGAGTAGAACATTCATCACTTGTCACTCGATTGTATTGGTATCACTTCGATCATCGTCACTCTAGCGTAAGACAGACAGTTCTGACAGAAACATTATTATGTGTTCTGTAAAGTTTCTTGCGACAGGATGTGGCCTCAGCAAGGTAAGTAGTCTGGTTCCTGAACAGAATACATTATCAAATTGGTGTTTCTTTTCCTCGGCACAGTGTATGAATTGGTCGTTCCTACATGTCTAGTGCAGTGTTCCGCAACCGGTGTGCCGTCACAAGGTGAAAGGTGTGACGCGAACTTTTACGTATTGTAAGAAATTAATAGTCGCCTGTGTGCAGCTACGTAGGCGCACATAGTCGCCTGTGTGCAGCTACGTAGGCGCACATATCACATTGAAGGCATGAGTAAAATTACTGTATTTACTTTAATAGTAATAGAAGTGTATTTTCTACACTCTACAATGAATTAAAGTTCATTAATTGTTAATAAATGCACGAGTCGATTTCTGTTTAATGATAATAAAATAACAATATAATAATATTATAGTAATAAGTTGATCACGTTACGTATTTATATTAATTGTCTGATATCAAGCGCTTTTGAAGGGAATAACATTTTGGTGTGCGGTGTTGAGTCATGGATACTTCATGATATATCGCGAGTAGAAAAAGATTGCGGAACACTGGCCTAGTGTATTCTCAATGATTTTAACCATCAGAATTATTATAAGTTCGACCATATGTTTAAATACTGTACCTACATATCTTAGTTCCTTTATTATTAAGAAACTCTTTCCACTAGCTATAATACGCTAAGACAGCCTACAAAAAGGAATTCATTGTGAATACACAAACCCTTTTAGTGGTAAACAAAAAAAAAAGAAAGTAGATTCTGAAGGGCTCTGACGATAGTGGATGACACAGAGAATTACTGGGTTTTTGGACTTTTTCCATCGTCTGGAATTCTAGGAAATAGAAAACACGACGTTTCGGAAACTTGATCTGTTTCCGTCTACAGGTGACGAAAGAAGGCACCTAGTCAATTTGGTCCATTAGAAAGAGTCCAGTGATTGAGATTAGTTCTAAACGCGCGAACAAAATTATTTCATAAATTAGGTTTCACTTTTATTTTCCAGAAAATATCTTAGGATTTAACTTATACAAGAAATTTGGGCCGCGCCATAGCTCAAGATGTTAGGGCTTCCCACCGCGGCGGCCCGGGTTCGATCCCGGGTCTGGTCACGTGGGATTTGTGGTGGACAATGTGGCGCTGGAGCAGGTTTTCTCCGAGTACTTCGGTTTCCCCCGCCAATCTTCATTCCACCAATTGCTCCACAATCACCCTCACCTATCATCTGGGGCTGGTACAATAGGCCAGAAGTGGCCGCAGTACAAGGGACTTAGTCCCACCCCACTAGCAATAAAAAAATTGCAAGAAATGACATATGTCTTTATTTCGAGCAATGTACTGAAAGAGGTCTAGATTATGGATCTTTCCTCGCCAAATTCTTTCAATTTACATATATTTGTAAGAGGTCTTTCATTAGGAAGTTCCGTGGGCAACTTTTTGATTTATATATAACAGAACATACTCGTTAAAACAGAGAAATTAACGATAGCTAGTCTGCTTCAAATCCTTGTGTTTGTGCTCCGAGGGTAGCTGATATAAGTATTTCCAAACTTTATGTTTCAAGTACGGGCGTATTTACAGAATATGTGGTACCTGATTAGAAGCAACTGCCTTGAAAATAAAGAGCGTAGAAATGCCAGCAAACAAACGTTGTATTTCCACTTAAAATCACGTCATTAACCACGTGGCGTTATCACATGCATTTATAGCTGCAATCATGTTACTATCGTCTTCTTTAAATAGCCTTGAACGCGAGACAGAAGTTCATCAGACGTGCTCACTTTCATTCTAAAGTAATTAAAAGACTCTGAAGGATCCTCTCGTAGGGGTGTGTACAATATGTAGAAGTGACCATCGCACTGTCTCACAGAGTTTATGGGATAAACCCACCGTTTTGTCTTCCTTGCTTTTAAATATAAACAAACAAGAGAGGCGAATGCTACGCTTTCTTCTGGCTCCATTGCAAACAAAACGTTACACACGGCATTGTGCAACTGTGTGGTGTCCTCAGCAACGTCCGTCATAAAGTACGTGCGTTGAAACTGACGTACTTCGTTCGCTCGTGTGGCCCCAGCCGTAGTAACAATGACGCACAGCGCATCTGTTTATGTAAGGGTCGGCCTAAAGATGGTTAATCGCCCAGCAATTGTAGAAGAGGAAATGTTTCAGCAAAATTTATGATGTGAAATTGACTAGGAAACAATCTGGTGTTACCTTTGTGTACTCCCAGTGCCATTAAGCACTGCAGGTGCTGTACAGGGACTTCCTGCCTACATGTAATGGAGTTACACCCTTCCACCATACGTCACGAAGCATCGTAAATCCTGCAAGTAGGTTGCTCCGACTTTCCTTTTATGCAGTGCTAGAGGGCCTAGCTAATTCTGACGTGGGTTACACGCAAACATCCGGGTTTATCATATCTTCATAACATTCCCGTCGTGCGTCACCAATTCCAATTCTGCTATTGAAGAATAAATGTTTTGTTCATTGTTTAATATTCCACACATTTGCTTCTAGTTTCTTGATACCTCAAGTCGGGTTGAAGCTTACCATAAGTGAAATTTTCACTTTTACAAATTTCAATGGAATTTTCAGGTGCCATTTCTTTACATTTCACTTTATAATACATGTTGTGGTTGTTGTTGTTGTTGTTATTATTATTATTATTATTATTATGTATGCCTATTTATTATTACACACAAGGGGGACCAAATAACTGTAAAAAATGTAACAGAATTTTCTTCCTCGTGTGGTTCAAATCGTGTAATTAATTTGTAATGAAGCAATTTGAGAAGTTGGTATCCTAACCAAATCCTGTGATTCAAAATTCAGGTCTACACATGACATCATATTCCACAGTACAGGCTGCGTGGCAGAGACGAGAAATGGTTATAAAATTTTTGACGAGAACCGTAAAAGAACAGACCACTAGGAAGACATGGGCGCGCCAGGATAATATTAAAATGAATCTTAAATTGGTGTGGATGATGGACAGGAGCAGGAGAAACATCAGTAATTGGGTGTTGTGAACATGATAATGAAATTTCAGGCGCCGTAAATTTCGGGAAATTTAGTGACAATCTAAGTGACCATTATCTTATCAAATTATACGGTATGGAGTTATACAAATTATGAGTAGCATCCGGTATTCTTCATAGGAACCCTCAAATTCTTACAAAGTCTTCAATGGCACTTCGTTTCTGTGGAATGTTTAACGACGTTGTTCGTATCTAGGTTCTACGGCATTGAATGATAGAATGACGAAAGTGGGATTTGAAAGGAAGCTATCCCAGCCTAACCGAGGTAGTAAACCTGGCATTTACCTGGAGAAACTGAAAAAAAAAAACGAAAAATTATTAGTCAAGACAGCCGGTGCCCCAGCCGGAAATCGAACTGAGCACCTCTCTACTAAAAGTCTAGTCTCTTATCGCTACGCCACCATCTCGGTAAACCACTTCGATTTTGTAGGTGTAAGTGATAATTCAGCCCACTACAAGGATCCTGTATTCCGGTTTCATACACGTATTTTTTTTATTGCTAGTGGGGTGGGACTAAGTCCCTTGTACTGCGGCCACTTCTGGCCTATTGTACCAGCCCCAGATGATACGTGAGGGTGATTGTGGAGCAATTGGTGGAATGAAGATTGGCAGGGGAAACTGAAGTACTCGGAGAAAACCTGCCCCAGCGCCACTTTGTCCATCACAAATCCCACTTACCCAGACCCCGGGATCGAACCCGTGCTGCCGCGGTGGGAAGCCAGAGACTAACCGCTTGAGCTATGGCGCAGCCTTTAATACACATAAGATCACAGATGGCCGATTTCTTCCGGCTCAAGGCAACTGAAAAAGGAAGACAGAGAAGCATCTCACCTTTCTATACATCTGATCAAAACATATCTGCAGAACATGACGACAATATGACGGACGCAATGATGTCGTCAGAGTTCTCCATTACAACTTTGGGTAACGTGGCAACTGCAGTTTCGTACATAACTTCACACAACTTCCTGAATGTTATGGATTTTAATGAATGAAGGGACTGGATACGTCGGGGTTGTAATTAAGAACAAAATATTTCAAATAAATGTGTCATAATTTATTCTTTTTGTCATTTATTCACCACAGATTTGAAAAAAAAACAACTAAAAAGGTAACAATTAAAATACACTTGTCGGTATTATGTATTTTTGAGAATTACAAAGAGACTATAATGATTATTAAGTGGGATAAAAATGAAACTGGACTAGCTATGACACATACAGTAGTCACATTTCGTTCATGACAGACTGTAAGCACCAAATTAAGTGGCAAACTGTATGGAAATATAGGAAAATAGTTTCACAGTAATCAACTCAGGGGCTGGTTCACACCATACTTAAATAAAGACATCATACTTAATAACAAGCTCAAACAACACCAAAGCTGAAGTGGGCAGAGCAGTACTATGCCTACCGAAAGAAATGAATGTCACTGCACCAATCACTCAAATGTAGCTCTATAGCAGAAAATCTTCCGAATTTTGAATTGCAATATGACCAAATGTTAGAACTTTGTAGATAAAAGAACCAATTAAAATCATATATAATTTCATGGTAAAGTAAAATCATGTTATGTAAGGTATTAATTAGGCCAGTCCTAACATACACATCACAAACATGGGCATCTGATGAAAAAGCTCTTGTTATCTTTGAGAAAACAGTTTTAACATTCATGTATGTGTCAATCAAAGAGAACAATGACTGGGGAACTAGGTGCAGTGATGAAGTGTAATTCTTGTATGAAGGTATGGATATTATAACCTTTATAAAAGTGGTTAGGTTGAAATGGGTTGGTCATGTTGTTCGAATAAACCAGCAACGACATGCGAAAAGAATTCTTAATGCCAAACCAGAAGGCAGAAGAGCAACTGAGATGTGTCGATGGACCGGACAAGACTGGACAATGTTAAAGCTCAGGAGGAAAGAAGCTGGAAAGAACGGCCAGCAACAGGAAAAATCTGGCAGAATCTTCTACCGAAGGCTACAGCCCAAAAACGTTGTTTTGCAAATGATGATAATGAAGATATACTAATATACTGGTTGAGATTTTCTTCTACAGATGTGTCCTTCATATAATGCCAATTAAGAACACACGCGAAAATAAACTAGGCACGTCTTTCAGAATGGTGTAGTTATAATCCCTTTATTTTAAGTGTGAAACTACTAATTGGTATAAGACGGACAGAAGATCTTGTACAGTCTGCATACCTAACAGCATATCAATTAGTGCTAGTTGTCATCTCTACCAATGAGTCATACATACCTCTCCTTCACAAACACTAGCAAACACTCCGACCACAGAAATGAACTTTCAGATTTTCTAAACAGTAACACTCATTAGTCTTACAGTTTGAAGATCACATCTTTTGTACCAATAACAAGTGACAACCGTGAAGGTTACTATCTTCTGAGATGTGACACCATGCATGAGTATCTTGGTAAGCAGAACCGATGTCTGCAAGGAACAAGCTCCAGCCATCTTCTGACTCCTCTACTCTGAAGATGGAGGCAGTAGGTTCCTCCGAAATGTTGGTACGTATCTACCAAACGACATGGCGTCACATCCCTTTATAGTCACCGCTGTCTGAGCCTTCATCCCACAACTGTCAACAACTTTCAGTGACAGCAACTGGAGAAATGTAGATTGTCCACGTAACAAACATGTTTTATTTATTACTGAATGTTGTTCTCTGCTCTTTTAATTTCCAACATAAATCTGTCATACGCTGCAGGTACCTTGTCTTAATGTATCTATCCACTATTTAAGTAATGCCTTTTTCTAAGTGGTATTACCAGCCACAATTTATATAACACTGTAAACAGGAATTGAGCAGATTCAATAGAAAGTGTGTACACATACTATTCTCGTAGGTACATAAATAGTTTTAGTCATTATTTTGTAATCTGAGAAAATTAAAAGCATTTTCAGATTCAGTATCTTAAGGGAAACCAGAGTTTGGATGAAGTACAGTTTAAAGCTTCAGAAAAATGTATTGAAATTAAACCATGATATCAGAGAATACATAGATTAACAGTTCAGATTTAATTTAAAATACATATAATCTACATGAAGTCTTCAGTCCATTGCTTTAACATCTGTTAAGCAAGTGTCAAAAGATAATATCGACATCAAGATAAACCATGAAATTCCAATATTAATCTGGATTAACTTTATTTGTGTGTGTTTAACATAAATCTGACGTCAATGCAGTATACTGCAGTTAAGAGCCAACATATTGGTTTAGATTTTGAGCTTAGATATTGCAGGGATTTTAACATGTAAAGTAATAATATGTGTTGTAAAATAATAAGGGTGCAAAGGTGACAATATTTTCCTTGTGTTTAATCAAGCACCTCGCCATGAAGATGTATGAGAGAGTGAAGTACAGCTCCACTATTCGCAACCTGGGCACCAGATGGGGGTGAGTGGTCAGCATCAAGCTCCAGCCCCATTACCATTGCATAGAAGGCTGGTTGGGCTCCCACAGCCGGTCTGGAAACTGCGGAGAACAATTTCTTGCTCCTGCCGGGAGCTCAGCTAACCACCCCAGAGCCCATAAAAAAAAAATCCTTGCAAGTGCCAAAAAATGAAATAAATATTCCTTAAACATAAACTGCCTGCTGCCAGTCATTTTCAGGATGTTAATGAAACACTCGCATGTAATTTTGATTTCGTTATAAAAATAAAAAAAAAAATTCAACGAAGAACTGAATATATTATGGTAACTATATTAATAATTTTAAATGAGTAAAATTCGTACTCTAAATTTCATCAAAATAAAACATTAAATATAGTATTGATAGGCAATAAGGTATGAGTTATCTGCATCTTACTGAGCTTTCTAAGTAACAGAGATCTCGTTCGGTACATTAAGTTGCTGCAACGTGAAGAGAACAGAAACTGGAGGAACTCTGAAGGCTGATTTAACAGTCGGAAAGGTGTTGCACAATTAATCTGCAAGAGTGGTGCAGGCGAGAACGTTTTGTGGAATGTGATTACGAATCAGACAGAGGACGTCCAACAGCCAGTGACAACGTCCTTCCCTTCCTTACAGCAACAGTAACCAGTAAAGAATATTGAAGGTGCACTGACAAATGAGAAAACTTTGTCAATAAAGGTTTAAGCTTTGAAGATATTCAATTACAGAAGTACAAAACTGACCATTCAGTTAAAAGTTTACTTTTAAAAAACATCTAACTCTTATAACAAAAAGAGATTGATGGCTACTTTAATATTTTTCTGTTTTTATTTAGATGTACTGCATGGATAATGGCCATATAATAATGTAAGTAAATGGACAGTCATAATTTATGGAACACAATAAAAATGTAAATAATATTCTGAACTTTGGTTACACATAACAAATTACAGTATATAAAACAAATATACATTACTTACATGAATTGTGTGCACCTTGTCAAATAAATAGCATGCATATTATTTTTACAGGGCCCCAAAAGATGTCATGCACCCTCCTTACATCAGCACGTAGCTCACTGGGACTCTTTATGACGTAGAAGCTGTTGGTCATTTTCTTAAGAATATGCAGTTATCCTGAGTCATGTAAATCACACCACCTATACAAAAGGATCACTGTTCTTTGCACATTCTGTTTACTGTACATTATGACTCTCTCTTTATCAAACATAAACAATGTACAATACACATTCTTTATCGCCCATTCATGCAACATCTCTAATTATGTACATTAGCATTACAAAAATGTCTTCTGTTCCCTAACCCGTCTTTGATAACTTCCTTGGCCACATAACTTATTAGGGCAGGATGAATGATCGACCTTGTCCGTGTCTCTTTGCTATAAAGCTATGGAATCGTGTTGGCTCCATATCAGCGTATCATGCCGTGAAGTTCTTCTCTGCCCGAAGGAGTTCGAGCACCGACGCCAATGCTCATGGATGCATACCAGACGCGGCACCTAGACGCTGTCCATATAGAGTGTATGGGGAGAAGTAGGGTGGTATTCCGGGGTGGGGGTGAAGCGGAAATCCTAAGGATGAGGCCGCCGAAAGGGAGGGCGGTAGCAGTGGAGGCTTGCTGTAGGGATGATACCTGGCCGTGGCAAGGGGACTGAGCGGTGGCGTCGGGTACGTTCTGTGAAAGAGCGGGTGAGTTGGTGTGAGTCCTGGCGGGCTTAGTAGCGACAGTGCCGTGGCACTGGAGTCGGAGGCCGACGTGGTGAGGTTAGTATGGGTTCGCAGGTGCTGCAGCAGCTCCTCCGAGTTGGAGAAGCGTTTCCCGCAGTAGGCCGCGTCACCCGCGATCCAGCTGCAGACGTATGGCAGGTGAGAGGCGGCTGCCAGAGCAGCCAGCTGAGCATGGGCGTAAGCTGCAGCCGCAGCTGGGTTATGGTGGCCTTGCAGGAAGCTGCCGGACTTACCGGCTGCCGCAGCGCTGGCGTGATCACACTGGGCGCAACCTCCCGGACAGGGACCCGCTGCCGCACCAGAGACCGGAGTCTTGCCTCCCGAAGCCGCAGCGGCTGCGGCACCCGACGCGGCTAGGAGATGAGAACTTAGTTGACAGCCCGTGCAGTACGGGTCGCGACAAATGGGCACCAGCGTGTCTGCCCCCGACGGGGTCTTCATTCGCGCGTAGCCGATGTATGGGTTGAGGCCGGGCTTGAGGTGCTGATGGTGCGGTGACATGAGGCTGCTCGCCATCACATCCATGGGAAAATGAGTTCCAGGTGCGGGGTAACCTCCAAGGTAAGCCGCCGTCGATACTGGAAGCCCCGTGCTGGGCTTGAATGTCCCCAGGGGGATGTCTTTGAGGGCGGGATCTGCTGAAGCCGGTAACAGACTCGGTGTGAATCCAACCTTGGCGTTCGCTATAGGGCTGGGCACTGTGCGAGACACAGTAGTGCTTTCGCCCGAGCCCGCCTTCGTTGTCACAGCGGCAGAGTCCACGGTTTGACCGGCGCTAGATGATGGCGTCGCTGATGACGTGGCCGGCGTCTTGCGGCCTACACCAGCAGGTGATGACCTAGGCGAGGACGCGCTATGATTGCTACTACACCTACCGCTATTAGAGCCTGGTGTATTGTTATTACTTTTGACAGACGATACCGGGGTCCGAACACGGCTTCCTGAAGACGCCGAGCCTCCCCTCTCCTCCGGAGATCCTGTCTTGTCCCTTGTACATGATTCATAGGGCTTGAAACTGGACTTGACAACCACGTCGCATACAGAGTTGCTGCCAATGGAGGAAGCTGGTGAGGCCTTCTCTCGAGAAGTGTCTGCCTTGCTGTTCTTCGTGGGCTTCTCAAGCGGTGGGATCAGTGGTTTGGAGTTTGGAGAATCGGCTCCTATCTGACTGCATGTCTGAGCTAGCAGAGCCAATGGACTCTTCTTCGCATCGAGCTGGAACACACAAAACGGCCTTCTTAAACATATAATGAAATTAAACGGAACATGATTTAACATTTAGAGGATAAAATTTTCTCAAGAATGAACTTCATTAGTAGCAGACATTGCCTGACACGTCTGTGTGTGTGTGTGTGTGTGTGTGTGGTACAGACGGTATAGCTTCATCTGTGAAACGGAGCTATGTTATCCGGCGTGTATTCAGAAACAGGTACAACAATTCACAAAATATATGCGGGTTTGCTGCGGACATTTTCATTAATTTACTTCTCTTCTGGCCGTGTCACAACTTGACAACTTTATACTTTCCTTCATATCAAGAGAGAGAGAGAGAGAGAGAAGCTTACAAAAGCTCTGCTACTAAGCCTCAGGTTTTCTACGTCATTTCTTCCCTTCACCTGTTGTACCCAGAGACACAAAAGAACATGTAAAAACATTATGGATACAGCGTTTCAAATTCAGCAACGAAATTGCCTTTTGTACTTGTCGGTTCTACAAACTTTCGTGGCATCGTGGTGGTTGACATCACGGGCCCTGTTCGAATTTACTAAAAACCCTGTATGATATAATACAATAGATTTTCAAAAATACTGCCGCAACCTAGGTGTCAGAAATAATTATGATCATAGCATATAAACATAATGACATATTGTAACATAAATTGCGGCACACTGTACACTGTAGTACTGACAATGAAAGCAATCACATCCTGCACGAGCTACTGGTACTGTTACTGGTAATGGTACTGCTGCTAACTAATTAACTGCATGGAGCTGAGTCATTCTTGAGAAGCCATCAGTTGCACAGCTACTCAAGAATTTCATAACATTTCATGAAACCCGATGATTCATTACCATGTCCACAAGATCCCGCCACTGATACCTATCCTGAACCAGATTAATTCAGTTCACTCCACTCCACCATATCTCTCTAAGATCCATCTTAATATTATCCTCCCTCATACGTCCAGGTTTTCCTGGTGGTCTCTTTCCTTGTGGCTTTCCCCCGAAGCCCTGTATGCATTCCTCTTCGCTCCACATATGCTGCATGCCCTGCCCATCTCCCCATCCTTGTCATTCTAATTACATATTTAGCAGATAAGAAAAGAGGTTAAAAAAAGTAAAGCTATCCCTGTAACAGACCGTGAAGGCCCATAGGGTTGTGAGACGTTGAGGGTCCCACATTATCTAGACAATCGGCTCAAAGATGGCGTATAGGTTGTCAGCCTTACGCGCCGACCGCGCTTTACTCCCCAGGAAAATTATTTAATTCCTGGTACTCATTTCTGTTAGAGGGTGAGCCGACCCCAGGGCCATAGTGCGGCTGGAAGGATTAGGTCAATTGAAAGAAATCAATGACTTCATCGGGACTTGAACCCGCGACCTTCCGGCTTGAAGCATAGTGCCTCAACCAACTACGCTACCGCGTGCCCAATTTAGCAGATAAATTTCAATAATACTTTAATACAAAAAAAACGGTACAGTTCCAGCGTGAGAGTATTCTGTTAATAAGCCACAAAGTTAGTTACACAATGTCAGCTGTGATCACTATTTCGTAACAGTGATTTAAATGCAAAGAATTACAAGTGGGCTTCATGTCACTTAGGAGACCGGGATATCTCAGTCGGTATAGCGAAGGGATAGGGGCTGGGAGACTTTGGTTAGATTCCCGGCATAAGCAAGATTATTTTGTGGCATATTTGCTAAAATAAGAACTGTGAATCCAGCAGGCAGCCGTTGCTATGGAAAGGCTCTATAAACGCCGGTTGCTAGGAAATATATTCGTAACACGCAACAATGGAGTAACCTGGAAGTGGCGTTCTCTACACTGTCCGTGCCATAGCTACCTGACGCAACAGTAACAGTGGTGTTTTCTATGCTGTCTGTGCCGAGTCTATATAACGAGGGGCAGTTGCAATTACGCATCTTGAGACGGCAGTGAGAAGAACAGGAGTTTGGTGTGAGATGGCCGCCACTCTGGGAGTTTGTTGTGAGACAGTTGCCGGCCAATAATGCCACGAACACGGAAGCTGAAGAAGCTACAGCATTGAAGCCGTTACCAGGCGACAACCGGTGACATTACATCAGACTGAGAAGAGTTAGTGCGTGCTGTAGTGAACTGCAGTGTGTGTGAATCAGCGATAGCGCTATAGTTACTTGTAGTTATGTTGTGTAAGAGTGCAATAAATCCAATTACGAATCAAAACCTCATATACAGTCATACTCAATCACGTGACAATATTCTCTGTTCCACAGTGTACAGACTGTCTCTAGGACCCACCCCCTCCTCCTCACTAATGAGTGAGGGGATAAACCGGCCGGGCTGTGAAGTCATCTCCATCTCTAGTGTCGAGGTCAAGAATTGTGAAGCTACATCTCCACTCCCCCATACGTGTTCATGGCATGGTGTTTAATTAAATACAGGGACAACTTTACCACTGCTTTCTTACGTTCACTTTAGTTTCTTGCAACACACACGTGCACACGTTAGAGTAACCTAGTTGATACTTACATGATATATTCCCTGATATACAACAAAGTCAAACNGTCGAGGTCAAGAATTGTGAAGCTACATCTCCACTCCCCCATACGTCTTCATGGCGTGGTGTTTAATTAAATACAGGGACAACTTTACCATTGCTTTCTTACATTCACTTTAGTTTGCTGCAACACACACGTGCATACGTTAGAGTAACCTAGTTGATACTTACATGATACTCGTATATTCCCTGATATACAACAAAGTCAAATACAATATTTTCTTCTCAATTTACGGCAAGTTTATGTTGAACTAGATTAATTTACACGAAAATCGTTTAATAGTTTAGTCCTCTAAGTTATAATGGTTATTTTTCTTCGTCTTAACTCTTATACTGAACTAAATAAACTAAATTCCGTGCCTTTTAGTCCGCAAGCGAAGTATACAGACCGAGCAACCGCCACTTTTCAGCGAAGTTAGTGCCAACTTTTGCAGATAGAGTGTGTGGCGTGGTCAGCGCAACGGATTCCCACGGCCGTTAGTCTCGGTTTTCTACATCCTTATACTGAAGTAACCTATTTATGGTTTTGTGATAAAATAACAAAATTTAAGTACACGTCAAATAGAATGGTATTCTGGGCAGTAACGCCGTGCAGTTCAGAGAAACCGGTGTTTCCGAGGAATATTCATCCTCCATCTTCAGGACCGAAAAGTAAGCCAAGCAAACATCATCAGAAGCAGCAGAAGTTGAGCTGGCCTTCTATTCGACCCTGGAGATAGAGGTAATATATTCCTCCGAAACGTCGCGCTCTCTCCGAACTACACGGTGTTACAACCCAGGAGAGCGTATTATTCTGTCACCGCTGTGAGAACCTCAAATCCAGTTTATTCCTTTATGTATTTATTTACTTACGGCTTATTTATCGACGCTAACTTGGACTACATTAGGTCGAATGGTATGACGGTCATTGGAGGATAAGACTGTGGCTCAGTCCGAGATACTTTCGGGGCATCTTTCTGGAGAAACTGAGGTCTCTGTTCGATAGGTAACGATGGTATTTCTCTTTGGGGGTAAAGCAGCCGAAGCGTGAAGCTTACCACTCATTATCTAGTTCCGAGGTCAAGAATGCATGGAGCTATTCCTCCACTCCCTCATACATATTCACAGCGCACTACTTAATTAAGTACAGGACCTTTATTCTTTGCCATTACAGCGGTCCCACAGTTCTCTATACAGCCATATACAGAAGCGTTCTAGAGCCACTGTATTCAAGACCTTTATTTAAAAAAAACCAGAAGATATATTATGGCAGTTTAAAACCAATATACCTCTCCTAAATCTTGCCACAGAAGATTCTGAATCATTCAGTAGCTAGATTCCAAGCATTCCAAAACGTTCGAATACAAGAAATGGTGCACAGTTAAGGAAATTAATATAATTGGACTATAAATTTTCTTGTCTTTGTTCCGGCAGAAAATGTATGCAGTAGGTCCTTTCGGTTCGCTACTATCTGTTTCACAATAAATAATCCGGTGGTTGGCGGTTGTCTTTTTCCGATGAACACACACATACACACACACAGGCATTTTAACCCAACCACCAGGAGCCCGAGTCTTAACAGGCATCTGACAATCCGCATCTAGGAGTAAATCAGTGTTATTTATTAGACCAACCTGAAACTACCTGATTCAAAAATCTAAATAAAGTCGCAAAACTCAGCATGTATTAATCAACCTCATCTGTAGACTTAGACCGTTGTCTGTAGCAGGTAACGTTACGAAGCCGAAATACTCTTATAAATATTATACTTCTAGTTTAAAGGGATTACAGGCATAGTCACAGCCGGTCACGGTAGCCGAGTGGTCTAAGGTATGCACTGTCTTCGCTCGCTCGGAAGCCGGGATCGTGGGTTCGAATCCCACAAAGCCATGGATGTTTGGTATGTGTATATGTTTATTCTGTGTTTAGGTAAAGGCCTTGCGACGGGCTGATCACTTGTCCAAGGAGCAAGAGAAGAGAGAGAGAAGAAAGTTACAAATAATGCACATTTAACATTAACGTAATTTCATACAAAATTTCACATGTCAAACAAACCTACAAAAAAAAACTGACGACTTCTTGCAGTGTGCTGTCTTGCTTTGTAACAGACAGACCTGTTTTTATTTGCAGTAATTTAACAAGCAACTGAAAATCAGTGGTCAGGGTCCAAGGGGGGCTCTAGAGCCAGTGAGAAAAACAAAAACAGGCAGTCATACAAAGAGAAATCATATTGCACTAACACTGTATTGGCCACTTTCCATTTTCCAAGAAGTGTGTAATATACGCGACATTTTCAGAGTAATTCAACTTCGGCCTCTTCGCCTCTGCAGGTAAATTACATAATGTTATACATGAACAAATGTTATTCTTCGGCTAACACAATATTATTTTATTTCAAGATTAATGCGACGGCTGGTATCGAACCTGGGACTTTCTGAATACTACGCTAATATATTAACCATCATATTTATGAAACACT